TGGTGCCGCAGAAGCAGAAGTTCAAGAAATGATTCGTGACAATTCCCGCCCAGGTAATGTGATTATCTATACAGATGGCTCTGTGTTGAGGAACAGACGAATTGCATGGGGGTTCACAGCAAAAGCAAATGGACGTCGTTTAATGCAGCAAAATTTGGCATCTGATATCGCAACGTGTAGTTTGAGAATATCGGTAGAGGAAGTCACTTCTGCCTTCCGCTGGCTTGAGTATCAGCTGTACACATGTCGAAATTGTAACTGACTTACAGAGCAAGTTGAGAAAGGTGCAGACAGACATGCTCATTGCAGAGTGGCAAGCATCGCTTCAGAGGACCGGGATAGTTAGCGTTTTTTGTGTGGATATTTTCTCCAGGCCCTACCGGTGTGTTGGCAGGCAGATAGATTGGCCGTTTCTAACCATTTGGTGGTGAATTGATGTATGACAAGCTAGACATTGTGCGGGCCCTTTGGAAGCGAGTGAACAGTGCGGAGGCATAAATCGATAATTACGGTCTGAGGAGAATGGCGCTGCGAGGAGTTACCAGGAAATCAGGCCAACGCTCAACAGTCAAGGGAAAGGCGAGACGGATATACTATCAGACAGTTACTGGTACCATCAGAATTATAACTTTTCGCATGCTGCTGACGATGGGGACGGAGCGCATAAGGGAGTGTCCCGGGTGCTGTGAGGTCGATTCTTAAATTAACATTCAACAAGATTCAGTATACTTTGTCAAACTTTGAGTACTGTAAATACGTATAGGGTATTAAGTTCTGAGGGGGCATGGGGATATATCAGTCAGGATCTGTCACAGTGGACAGCGAATAGAATGGTTATCAGAAACTTCGTATGACACATAAAGTAGGTCAGTCTAGTTAGGAAGTCCCTTCCCAACATTATACGTCCTACCCTTTGCCTATTAAGAAAATTCTGCAACGTGTTTCCAATCTACGTTCAGTAAGCGAACAAATAAAAGGATGCGATGACAAATTTGGGAAATTTGCGTCTATTTTACAACCCCACTCTATCTGAAGCCAGGGACCCTAAAATAACCTAACTGTTGAATGGGGTTTCTGGGACTTGTACCGGGGTGATTCTTGTCCGGATATTGGCACTTTGTGCCACCGGGTGTTTATCGCTCGTTGTGCGGTCCAGGTGCGGTTGAATGTCAGAGATTGAGCATGTTCAAGATTCATTGCGGCCAACCTTTATTTTGAAGACGGCAGCTAGTTGATTTATTGATGTATGGAAACCTGTGAATGTCCCTGTATACTTTCACAGTCCCTTATACTTTTTTCCGACTTCTTCCAGTTGCACCCAAAACTGCTATCGCGCCCTGGATCGTTCCCGCCCGTTTGGTCCAATCTATTCAGATTTTAATTGAAATGACACAGAGATGTGTGAGAAATCGTGCTAGAAAGCGTCTAGGCTAAAACGATGTGTCGATGCTAAGGGAGATAATAATTGAAGTGATGAAGGGAAGCAAGAAATGTGAGGTTTACCTGAGTTTGTGCAACTGTGTTTGATGAGAGTGGAAATTAACTTGTGTGGAAGTTCAGGTTGGAAATAAACTGTTGAGTGCCACATATGTGGTATCACTGTTCGGGTGAAGTGGTTTGGGGGTTGAGGTTTATTTTGTTAATTGTAACTACACAGTTCTTTTCCTTAGTGCATGTCGTGTTGCGTTGGCTGTCATTTCTACTAATAAAAATATAAGTCGTACGGTAAGGTCACTATCAACGCTTCCTCCTTTTTAGGATAAAATTTTTTGTTTGAAGCCCTACTCTAGCTTTTGCCAGGGGTCGCTATGTAGGCAGGCCATAAATATGGCCAATTGTCTGAACGCTGAAGGCAGTTTCTGGGACCTCTCCACGGCGATCCTCATCCACATGGTCGCACTTTGTGTCATCGGGTGTTTATCGCTTGTGTGATGTCCTGGTGGGGTAGAAATAACGTTACTTCTTATCCTTTTTAGGATGAAATTTTTCATTATTTGAAGCCCCACCTTGGCTCTTGCCAGGGGCCGCAATATAGCCCGACCGTAAATATGGTCTAATGGCTGAACGCGGTTTCTGGGAAATCTCCACGGTGATCCTCATCCACATGGTGTCACTTCGTGTCATCGGGTGTTTATCGCTTGTGTGATGTCCTGGTGGGGTACAACATACATAAATACATACATTTCTACCCATGCAATACCTTCGTCGTCCCCATGTGTGATTACAATAATTAACCAAGGTTATCCGCATGTGGATTAAAATAATTAACCAAGGTCGTCCCCTTGTGGTATTACAATAATTAACCAAGGTCGTCCCGATGTGGATTACAATAATTAACCAAGGTCGTCCCCATGTGGATTACAATAATTAACCAAGGTCATCACCATGTGGATTACAATAATTAACCAAGGTCGTCCCCATGTTGATTACAATAATTAACCAAGGTCATCACCATGTGGATTACAATAATTAACCAAGGTCGTCCCCATTTGGATTACAATAATTAACCAAGGTCATCACCATGTGTGTTACAATAATTAACCAAGGTCATCACCATGTGGATTACAATAATTAACCAAGGTTATTCGCATGTGGATTAAAATAATTAACCAAGGTCGTCCCCATGTGGTATTACAATAATTAACCAAGGTCGTCCCGATGTGGATTACAATAATTAACCAAGGTCATCACCATGTGGATTACAATAATTAACCAAAGTCATCACCATGTGGATTACAATGATTAACCAAGGTCGTCCCCATGTGGATTACAATAATTAACCAAGGTCATCACCATGTGGATTACAATAATTAACCAAGGTAGTCCCCATGTGGAATACAATAATTAACCAAGGTCATCACCATGTGTGTTACAATAATTAACCAAGGTCATCACCATGTGGATTACAATAATTAACCAAGGTCGTCCCCATGTGGATTACAATAATTAACCAAGGTCATCACCATGTGGATTACAATAATTAACCAAGGTCATCACCATGTGGATTACAATAATTAACCAAGGTCGTCCCCGTGTGGATTACAATAATTAACCAAGGTCGTCCCCATGTGTATTACAATAATTAACCAAGGTCATCACAATGTGGATTACAATAATTAACCAAGGTCGTCCCCATGTGGGACGCAATTTTTCGATATTCTGAAGCCATGCACTGGCCGGGGGCCTCAATATTGTCTGACTGTTGAACGCGGTTTGTGGGACCTCTCACCGGGTGATCCTCATCCGAATGGTGGCACTTTGTGTCACCGGGTGTTTATCACTCGATATGATGTCCTGGTTGTGTTGAACGACAGATACATGTTTGTCCATAATATTACACAGGTGTGCCTAGCGCCGTGAATGTCGTGGGTTCGATTGCGGATTCGGTTCGTTTTTTAAGTGCAGATTTTTCAGAGATCCTGTGAGATCATCGCTGCAGACACAGAATCTGTGTACCTTGTGTGACACTCTGGCAGAGGAAATTGAGAGAGTCAGGGGCCATTTGGGGGAAACCTGATTCACTAAAGTCTACAGGCTGAAAAAAATCGTTAAAAACTGCCAGTAGGATAATAATAATAATAATAATAATAATAATAATAACAACAACAACAACAACAATAAACTGTCGTAACTGCATGCTGCTACACATATTTAAGGAGTTACATACAACAAGTACTATGCCGGCGAACGTTGCTGCTTGGCTTCGCTTACTTTGTGAAAAAAAAGTCGTCAATTTTAACCAGCATTCCCAAAGGGAGAGATGTAGGTTATAATTATGACTAAGCCATGTGCACTATATAGAATGGCTTAGAATGCTCGCCACCAAATAGCTACGAAAAAGACTCTTGCAGTGTTGACAGACCCAAATACTGTCCTGACCGGAGACGAAGTCGTCTACTGGCGAGCCAATAGGCGACCCGGTCGCCGATAGGGCTTTGCTGCCTCTCCATGCAGCAAATCATCATCTCTATCCTGGTGTGCCAGTATGGGTCACACAGGGTGGCAGTCTGTCCCTCCATTCCGCTCTGTTTCGTTATTATGGATGGATGTCAGATCCAGTACCGTCAGCCCCTCCCATCAACTTTCGGACGTCCTTATTTTCTCATTAAATTTTCTCTATTGGACGGCCTTGTTTTCTCAACCCAGGTTTTCTATTGGACAGTCTCATATCTAGGGTTTCTATTGGACACCCGTGTTTCTTTAATCTGTGATTTCTATTCAACGCCTTCGTTTCCTCAAATCAGGGTTTCTATTGGGCAGTCTTATTTCTTGAATCTAGGGTTTCTATTGAACGCCCGTTTCCTTAATCCATGATTTGTATTGGACGCCCTCGTTTCCTCAGTCCATTTGTTTCCCATTTCAGTGTTAGTTTCATTAATTCGTGATTTATATTTGACGCCCTCGTTTTCTCAACCCAAAGTTTCTATTGGGCAGTCTTATTTCCTGAATCTAGGGTTTCTACTGGACGTCCGTTTCCATGAGGGAGAGCCGGATTCGAATCCTGTTTAAGATTTTTTTTTCAAAGGTCAGGGAGAAAAATACAAATCGAGCCTCTACAGTCCATAGTGACTGCACTAGCATGTGACCCCAAATCTTTAGACCCCAATATCCTCCCTCTGTACCATAAAAATGGCAGTTTTTGGCAGTCCTAGGGTTGCCAGATATTCCGATTTTCCCGGATTCCTAGGGGTTTTCCTCCCCCACCCCACACCCCGGCCCCTTTTCAAATCATTTTCCTGTGGAAAAAAAAAAAGTTTATTATGTTGTATATTGTATAATCTATTAGTAGTGAAATATTTCGTTATAAACAATGAATCGTTACAAAATCTCCCTGCCATTGATTGCCCAGACAGCAAATTCATAATGATTAATTAATTATGCTTCCGTACCATTCTTTTACTTTATGTGAGTTAATAGAATTTGAGGAAAACAAATTACATTAATGAAATTGAAACCAGTCTCCATGTTTCGTTTATTCCCTTTTTTTTTCTGTTTCTCAGCGGCTCCCTACTGGAAGAGTGGGCCCCCAAAGGACAATCAAGTTGTGGTCAGGGAAGGCTCCGACGAAACTTTGAACTGTGCCGTAAAAGGCTCCCCAAACCCGGAGTTTAGCTGGTTAGTCAACGGAAAACTTCTCAACACCACCAAATCCAAGAAGGTAAAGTCTTCAATTTTTTCCATCATCAGCATCATCTCTCCGTTGTAATGTTTGCATGTCGTAAAGTGCTCACAGCCTACCCCACCATTCAGGTCTACCCTGTGCAGAGCTGCTAATGGGATTTGTATCAAAACACAAGCTAAGCTGACCAACAACAACAACAACAACAACAACAACAACAACAACAACAACAACAACAATACATTAGCAAAGAACAATAAACAAAAACAAAAACACAAAAATGATAAAAAGTACAAATGTTCTATTTACGAAACAAAACATTTGGCTCTCCTTGCAGATCCGGACGAGGGTTGGATGCGGGCTGGACGACTTAGTTCAGTTTAGTGGGAGTTCTCTCCCTTGGCCGCACTCGAAACAGTGAGCGGAAAAGTCACGAAACAAATGACATACTTACCTATCATCATATGGTTGCGTGTAAGGTTGCGTACGGTTGCGTTTAGGGTTGCGTAGTCATCATACGGTTGCGTGTAAGATTGCGTAGTCATCATACGGTTGCTTGTAGGGTTGCGTAGTCATCATACGGTTGCCTGAAGGGTTGCGTAGTCCATCATGCTGTTGCGTTTAGCGCTGCGTAGGGTTTGGGTTAGGGGTGTTGGTTAGGGGTAAGGTTAGGGTTAGGGTTAGATGTTAGGGGTTAGGGTTAGGGGTTGGGTTAAGGGTAGGGTTAGGGGTTAGGTTTAGCGTTAGATGTGACAATTTTGACGATGCTGGAATTCCCAATAATCGCGCACTGTCACATACACACCCAAACAGTCGACGGACTGTGGATGCTACTGACACGGACACGTCGCCACCCGTTGGGCACCAGCTGCGCGCTATTGTGGTCATATTTGACAGACTTCCAGTGGCGCCACTCCCACAAGCATCAGATTGTCGGCCAGTATTTGGAACTCCTACGTCAATATTGTCACATCTAAGCCTACCCCTAACCCGTAACCCTAACCCCAACCCTACCCCTAAACCCTAACCCTAACCCCTAACCCTAACCCTAAACCTCACCCTAACCCTACCCCTAACCCTAACCCCGAACCCACACCGTACGCAGCCCTACACGCAACCGTATTTTGATAGGTATAACCCTACACGCAGCCGTATGATGACTAGGCAAGCCTTCGCGCAACCGTATGATGACTACGCAACCCTTCGCGCAACCGTATGATGACTACGCAACCCTAACAGCAACCGTACGCAACCTTACACGCAACCATATGATGATAGGTAAGTATGTCATTTGTTTCGTGACTTTTCCGCTCACTGTTTCGAGTGCGGCCAAGGGAGAGAACTCCCACTAAACTGAACTAAGTCGTCCAAGCCTCGTCCGGATCTGCAAGGAGAGCCAAACATTTACTCACTTTTATATAAGGATTTATTTAAAAATAAAAGATTCCAACGTCTGAACCCAAGGGGTCAAAGAAAACCCCAGATCTTGAGGAGAAAAGCGCAGTATTTTTAGTCCTGACCCTGTGTGATAGAACTGATTAAATGCAAGACATATTGAATATTACTAAAAACTGTGATTGGAAACCTTAAACTAACGAACAAACTCTTATTTTCAAAGTCATGAAAATCGGACACAAAAGCCCTCGACTAGTTGCAGGCAGAGGAAATTAAACTAAAAGGAAGGATAGGCGATGTGTAAATTGTGGTAAAGAACAAGGATGCGGCGAGGATGAGAAGGGAGAGAGGGTATGAGAGAAACACCAAACAGCTGTTTGTAGACTCACGTATAGTTAATTAGCAGCAGGGGCGTCCCAGCGGCTTGTTGTCTGCCTATGTTGCACCATAATAATTGAGATGCCAAGCTCACTCCCCTCACCCCCCCCCCCTCCTTTTTTTTTTCCTTTTGTCCCCAAAGGTTGATTTTCAAATGTTAGCATTCTTTGAAATTCATTTCGCTAGACTGAAATCTGTGTTTAGATGTTTTTTGTAGCGACAAAAATTAAGCCGTTTGTCTCGTTCTGTGAAGGTTATGGTTCGTTTTAATGTCTGCGTCGTTCTGTTCGTAAATGCAGTTTCGTGGAACTATGGGGGTCGTTTCTGACGCTTTGGCGTTCGTACTCTCTGTGAAATAAATAAATGAAGAAACGAACGACAGACAGACAGACAGACAGACAGACAGACAGACAGACAGACAGACAGGCAGACAGGCAGACAGGCAGACAGACAGACAGACAGACAGACAGACAGACAGACAGACAGACAGACAGACAGACAGACAGACAGACAGACAGACAGACAGACAGACAGACAGACAGACAGACAGACAGACAGACAGACAGACAGACAGAAAGAAAGAAAGAAAGAAAGAAAGAAAGAAAGAAAGAAAGAAAGAAAGAAAGAAAGAAAGAAAGAAAGAAAGAAAAGAAAGAAAGAAAGAAAGAAAGAAAGAAAGAAAGAAAGAAAGAAAGAAAGAAAGAAAGAAAGAAAGAAAGAAAGAAAGAAAGAAAGAAAGAAAGAAAGAAAGAAAGAAAGAAAAGAAAAAAGAAAGAAAGAAAGAAAGAAAGAAAGAAAGAAAGAAAGAAAGAAAGAGAAGAAAGAAAGAAAGAAAGAAAGAAAGAAAGAAAGAAAGAAAGAAAGAAAGAAAGAAAGAAAGAAAGAAAGAAAGAAAGAAAGAAAGAAAGAAAGAAAGAAAGAAAGAAAGAAAGAAAGAAAGAAAGAAAGAAAGAAAGAAAGAAAGAAATTGAAAACAGACTGATAGCTAAATAAACAGAACAAACAGGATGGACGAAAACACAAACCAGCAAACACAGGCAACTAACTTGTCACTCTGAGGGTCACGTGGCCTCAGATTGTAGACATACATCGTATCAACCTTCCTTATGGACACACGGTATACTAGAGACATAAGTATGCAAATAACTCATATAAAATGCGCAAAAGAGACGATAAAGGAAGGAAGAAAAGAAGTAAAAAGATCCGAAAGAAAAAAAAAACAGACAGGCGGAATGAAGAAGAGGAGTAGTTTAACCGATGTGCAGTCAGACAGGCAGGAAGGCAGACAGACGGACAGATAGACGGTCGTGCTTACAATAGTTAAGACAGGCTGTTATACAAACAGACAGTCAGGAAAACAGCCGGATGGGCACGCAGCCAGTCAAAGAAAGCGAGCCTGGAAATAGAACTCAGTTGCCCCTTCTCGATCAGGTAGCCTCAGATTGCAAGACATAAATGGTATCAACTTTCCTGATGTACACTCGATATCTTAGAGTGAAGCGGGTCTGCACTTGTGTGCGGGGAGAGACTGGAGTGAGCACACATTTCTAAGTGGTCCCCGCATGCATTGGAGAATTGGGAAGTTAGAAATGAAATAGGAGGAAGGGTCGGAGAAAGAGTAATATGCTAGAAAGAATAAAAGAGGGGGAGACACTATGAAAGACGAAAGAAAGAAAGAAAGAAGGAAAGAAAGAAAGAAAGAAAGAAAGAAAGAAAGAAAGAAAGAAAGAAAGAAAGAAAGAAAGAAAGAAAGAAAGAAAGAAAGAAAGAAAGAAAGAAAGAAAGAAAGAAAGAAAGAAAGAAAGAAAGAAAGAAAGAAAGAAAGAAAGAAAGAAAGAAAGAAAGAAGAAAGAAAGAAAGAAAGAAAGAAAGAAAGAAAGAAAGAAAGAAAGAAAGAAAGAAAGAAAGAAAGAAAGAAAGAAAGAAAGAAAAAAAGAAAGAAAGAAAGAAAGAAAGAAAGAAAGACAGACAGACAGACAGACAGAAAGACAGAAAGACAGACAGACAGACAGACAGACAGACAGACAGACAGACAGACAGACAGACAGACAGACAGACAGACAGACAGACAGACAGACAGACAGACAGACAGACAGACAGACAGACAGACAGACAGACAGACAGACAGAGAAAATGAAAGAAAGAACATAGAATGGTAATTTAGAAAGCATGAAATGAAGGAAGGGACGAAGGTAGGAAACAGACAATCAAGGACAGACAGACAGATGGTCTAACCTCTCTGATGCGATCTCGAGGAGATATGAAAGACAACCGAGCTGTAACAAACCAAGGGGAACAGGCGGGAGGCTGGGGAAGGAAAGGGCAGAAATTAAATCTCCCAAAGGTTGGAGGTTGTGCTGGCAAGTCCGACCCTAGGTTGAACTGATTTTCGTTGCCATTTTTTGTTTCTTTTAATGCAAATGCCGGGAAATGTTTCAGAGGGTACAAGTGTTTTTCTCAGCATTCTGGCGCTGAGTACTTGGCATATTGTGAGAGGCAATTCTAACCTCGAGCGTTAAGTTAAGTGGATATAAGGACATCATTTCACTCGAGATAGTCCCATATTTGCTCCGTCCCAATCTTCAGCAGCTAATGAAGAGTTTCAGTTCGGATGGTACCTGTAACGTTCTGATTAATGTTTGATTAGCTGTTCCCCTGAGTCATTGATCAGTAATCCCCATGTGGGATGCAACTTTGTGTTATTTGAAGCCCCACCCTGAATATAGTCGGGGCATAGATATGACCTAGCTATAGATATGGCCTAACGGCTGAACGGGGTTTCTGGGACCTCTCCACGGGTGATCCACATCCGCATTGTGTTTATCGCTTGTGTGATGTCCTGGTGGGATACAACTATCTATCAACCTACCTTACCCTGAGTATTAGTTTGTTGTGAGTTGCGCACAAGGAATATGGGGTATTATAAGATTTATTTAAATAATACTTAGCATAGCCACTGCTACCCATCAAGCAGTGGATCGTAAATTGTTCCTCCCCATAACGCTTAACGGCAGAAGAGGACACTGATGATGAAGATTAGATTAATACCCGGTTATCCCGGTAAAGACAACAAAGAGAGCGCACAACATGAAATCAGAAACATCGAGAGACAGGGGACGACCAATAACATTAAAGATTGAAAGATGTATCGATACCTTGAGAATCAAAAACATCACCGCATAACGATCAACCAAGCGTTCACCAGCTCTGTGACCTATGGTCTGGTAATCTTCAACCCCAAGCGGAACAAAGCAGAATATGGACAA